CCCTGCTATGATTGTATTGCTATCAATTTCTCCTTTGAAGTCTTCCAGAATATTTTTACTATATTTTGGTGCTTCTATATTGGGTGCATATATGTTTATCAAGGTTATATCTTCCTGTTGAATAGATCCTTTAAATATTATGTAGTGGCTCTCTTTGTCTCTTATTATGGCATTCGTTTTGAAATCTATTTTATCAGATATGAGTATTGCTACCCCAGCTTCTTTTTTCCTTCTGTTTGCTTGGAAGATTTTTTCCCATCGATTCACTTTCAACCTATGTGAGTCTTTTGTTGTGAGGTGTGCCTCTTGTAAACAACATATAGATGAGTCATGCTTTCTTGTCCAATCAGCTACTGTGTCTTTTTATCACAGCATTCAATCCATTTACATTTAAGGTGATTATTGATATGTATTTATTTATTGCCATTTTTGTTTAGTGTGGTTATGTTTTTCTTCCTATTTCTCCTGCTAATTACAGCAGTCCTTTTAACATTTTTTGGAGTGCTGGTTTGGTGCTAATGTATTCCCTTAGCCTTTTTTTGTCTGGGAAACTCCTTATTTGACTTTCTATTTTGAATGAAAGCCTTGCTGGGTAGAGTAGTCTTGGATTCAGATCCTTGTTTTTCATGACCTTGATTACCTCATACCATTCTCTTCTGGCCTGTAGTGTTTCTGTTGAGAAGTCAGCTGAGAGCTTAATGGGGTTTCCTTTGTAGGTAACCTGTTGTTTATCTCTTGCTGCTTTTAGGATTCTCTCTTTGTCTTTAATTTTTGGCATTTTAATTACTATGTGTCTTGGTGTGGGCCTGTTTGGGTTCTTCTTACTTGGGGCTCTCTGTGCTTCTTGAATTTGAATGCCTTCTTCCTTCACCAAATTAGGGAAGTTTTCTGTCCCTATTTTTTTAAATACATTCTCTAACCCTTGTTCATTTTCTTTTTCTTCGGGGACTCCTAGATGCGAATGTTATTACGTTTCCAGTTGTCCCACAGTTCTCTTAAGCTGTTTTCCTGTTTTTTAATTATTTTTTCCTTTTGGTTTTCTGATTCACTGATATTTTTCTACCCTATCTTCTAATTTACTGATCCGGTCCTCAGCTTCCTCTACTCTGCTATTTTGAGTTTATTCTTGTGTATGGTGTAAGTTGATGGTCCAGTTTCATTTCTTTACATGTAGAAATGTACACATTTCATTTCTTCAAATGTGTTCTTTATTTCTGATATGTCATTCTTAATTTCTTCTTGGTGGTTTTTAATTTCCAGTTGTTTGATTTTCAACATTTCTATGTCTTTACTCATGGTGCTCATGTCCTTACACATGCTGTTGTGCGTCCTCAAGATCATGGCTCTGTATTCTGGTTCTGTTAACTTGCTTAACTGCACCTCATTTATCTCATCTTTGGTAGAGGTCTCTTGTTCATTCATTTGGCTTTTGTTTCTGTGTTTCACCATTTTGGCTATCACAGTGGGCTTTGGAGCCTGCCAAATTTTCCCTGTGTGTGTTGGTGTTCTGCTGTTTGTGGCTCCCTCTCCTGGGTTTGGATGAGCCAGGGAGGACCCACATTAAACACCACTGTCAAGTCTTACTTTTCTGGTTAGAATTACTAGCCCAGGAATGGTACAGTTATCCTCTAGCTTTTTGCCTGGAGGCTATCATTAGTGGTTACCTGAAGAGCCTTGGCTTCTCAGTTGAATGAAAAATTCCCTCAGGTGCTCAGTGTAAGGGGTTTTCCCGAGGGTGGGATAGATGCTAGTTGTTAATGGGTCTCAATTTGCATTTCAATGGACCACCTGGGTGGAGTTGAAATCCAAGGGAGGGGCCACCACCTCTCCCCAGAGCCCTGGGAAGGAATAATATGACCACCATCCTGCGTGGCCGCAACTCAGCAGAAGCTCTGAGCACCCTCCAAATCCGGAGTGTCTCCACACAGTTCCAGTCCAGTCTGCCCTCCCTCCACCAGAGCCCAAGGTGAATGGCTGTGGCTATTTTAGCCTCTGTACCGGCTCTGCACTGTGGAGCCACTTGGGAGTTTAACCCCCAGGGCACTGCTCACAGCAAAGACTGCTGCTCACAGCTAAGGCCACTGCTGACTGTGGGCTCCCAGCCCCCCCCCCCCCTCGCGTCTCCGCAAGCCTATCAGGATTGAGTCAGTGTCCCTGGTTATGTAGTCCTCCAAGCTGCTTTTCTGTTGCTTTTTCCTGACAATTTGTCTTTATTTTTGTTGTAATTCCAGTTTGGTCCTGGGAGATGGTCTATGTAGCTTCCACTTACTCCACTGCTATATTGGAAAATCCTACCCTATTTTTTAAATTTGTTTTTGTTTTGGCTGCTCTGATTAGGTGTTTTTTTCTGTCCTGTCTTCCGAATTGCTGATTCGATCCTCTGCTTCATCCAACCTAGTGCTTATGCCTTCTGGTGTATTCTTCCTTTCAGATATTGTATTCTCATTTCTGACTGGTTATTTTTTATGGTTTCTGTGTACTTTTTTATGCTTGCTATCTCTCTTTTTTTTATATATTTAATATATTTTTATTGATTTTTTAGAAAGAGAGGAAGAGAGAAATATAAACATTGATGCACACCCCCTATTGGTGATTGAGCCTGCAACCCAAGCATGTGCCCTGACTGGGAATTGAACCAGTGACCTCTTGGTCCACGGGTCAATGCTCAACCACTAAGCCACACTGGCTGGGCTCCATTGTATTTTTTTAAATTAATTAATTAATTAATATTTGTTACAGATGTTTCTCCTCTTTCCCCACTAGACACCCTCCTCTTGACCCCCCTGCCCCATATGCTTGCTATCTCTTTGTTGAAGTTCTCACTACGTTTCTTAAGAATTCTTATCAACATTTTTTAACTCTATATCTGATAAATTGCTTGCCTCCATTTCACTTAGCTCTTTCTTTTTTATATTTCTGGTGTTCTTTCATTGGGGCATGTTTCTTTGTCTCCCCATTTTGTCTGCCTCTTTGTGTTTGTTTCTATGTATTAGCTAGATCTGCTATGACTCCCAGTCTTGGTAGAGTGTCCTTATGTAGTAGATGTCCTGTGAGACCCAGTGGTGCAGTCTCCTTGATCACCTGAGCTGGGTGCTCCAGGAATGTCCCTTGCGTTGGTTATGTAGGCCCTCCAGCTTTAACTTTGTCTTGATTGCTATTGGCCTACTTGTGTGTAGGGTTGACCCTCAGACTAGCTGACTGTGAGGATCAACCTCAATCACAGTGTGTAAGGTGCTGTGTGGGTGCTGACCACATGGAGTGGAATTTGCTTCAGCAGGGTCTGGTGCCTGCCAAGATCTCCCTTTGGATATGTTGCTTGTGAAGCTAACTGGAACTTGCCCTGATGTTGTCTGAAGCTGGCCACTCACTGGGTGTGTTGGTTCTGGGACCTCTTGAGAGGGACTCTGGTGCAAACCAATGTCAGATGCTGCCTGTGACTGGCCCTGGATACCCTGTTTGGAACTACAAAGCAATCCACAGTTTGTTGGCTACCTCTGCTGGGCCTAAGTGTGCATGGGAAAGACCAAGCTGCACACCAAGGTCAGCTTTTACCAGCACCAGGCCCACGAACAGCTCAGCAAAAGTCCCAAGGCACCCCAAGATCCACTTCCACCTGCTGGCTGCCCGATAGGTTCAGTCACTGAAAGAACCTCTGGAAGTACCCAAGCTGTATAAGGTAGATTCTCAGTGAGTCACCAGCTAAGGATAAGTGGCCTTCACCAGATTAATACAAGTTCAAACTCTGTACCAGTGTTGTGTCTGAGGCCACTAGCAAATGTCGTAGGATATACCAAGTCTAGCTGCCCCTCACTAGATGTCTACAGACCTTTGTGATGGGGCAGGATCTCAGGGTGTTGTCAGAGTGAGGCCAGCAGAGTTTATCAGGCCCAAACAGACCAAGATTGAACTATGTGAAGGGAGGGTTCTGTACTGGTTGGGCTTGAGGGGGAAAAATAGCCCTTGTCCTAGAACCACACAACTCAATCTGTCCAAGATTCTTCCCAGATCTTGGCAGGGTAGGGCCACCAGGGGTTGAGAGGGTGGGCCACTTTGAGCCCGGAGGGTGGAGCTAGAGGCTCTCCCATGAGCAGGAGGCACCAGTCAGATTCATGGGAAAGTGGGAAGGAATGATCCCTACCCCAAAACCACACCACTCAGTCACTGCAACCCCTGAGTCTACCCATACCTCTACACACCACCCAAGGAAGCTAACTCCTGAGCAGGGCCCGAGCTCAGCAGGATGGGGCGAGAGGGTGTCCAGAGGGTGAGGCTATTGCTTTTCCCCAGGTTGATGCCATATGAAGGGGAGTCCTCCACCCCTCCACCCAAAAAAGATGGTGTATGCAGTGTGGAAGAGGGACTCAGCACAGGGGTCCTGGTGGCTGTCCTCTCAGCAATCTCCCCCGAACCCTGTCTCTTCTCATACAACTCCAGTCAACTATGCCCTCCCTTCGCTGGAGCCCAGGGTGAGTGGCCACAAACAAAATTTTGTGCATTGGCCCTTTATGGGGGCACTTGTGTCTGTAGCAGACTCCTGTCTCTCCCTGGCAGACAGAATCCTTGATTTCATAGCCAGATGTTATGTGGGCTCCTCTCCCTGGCTCTGGTGCTCTGGGCCGGGGAGCCTGGCATGTGGTTGAGATCCTATGCTCCTCAGGGGGAACATTTGCAGCTGAGATATCATTTTGGAATCTCAGCCACCACTCATGGGAGTGGGGCCAGCCCTTCATGTCTCCACCCTTCCTACAATCTTGATGTGGCCTCTTATGCAAATCCTTGTTTATAAGACTTCTGTTCCCTATTGGTAGTTCCTGATTCCACTCTTAAATAAAATTCTTTCACTCAAATTCTTATCTTGGGTTTGCTTCTGGGAAAATGAAAACTTCTGGGAATATCTCCTATAAATTTTTTTAACATGTTCAAAAGTGACATATATCCAATTTATTAATTCACCATTGTTTTAATCATGAGAGATTAGAAATAATATATCAAAAGGAGACTGGTTAAATACATTATGAATCACCGATACAATGAAATACTATTGAGCTGTGTTAAAGAACAAAAAAGTACTTTGTGTCTTATATGAAACAATGTCTGAGCTATATTGATGAAAAAGCATGATGCAGAACATAGTATAAACAAAACCTGTGCTATCATTTGTGTAAATAGCTTGTGTGTGTATTTACATATGCCTAGAGTCTTTGTGAAGGAGACTCGAAAACACATAGATTTGAGTGCCCTTTAGAAGTGACTTAAATGGCTAGGATGATCAGGATGGAAGGAAGACTTTTGACTTTTGTACTATCAACAGGTGTATCAATTCAAAAATAAAAGTAACATTAAAATAATAAATAAATGAATAGATAAAGGGAGGCATATTATTGCTTGTGGGACGTTTTTGGCTCTAGTGTGAAATGGGTTTGGACAGGCTCCTGTTATTTGACCAGTTCCTGGCTCTAGCATGGCTTCGCCATGTGGTCTTGGTCCCAGCTGTCCAGACTTCTGAAGATTTGCGTGCTCACCCATGAAGGGAGTTCTCACTTCCTTCAGCGGGGGGGGGGGGGGGCTGTTGCTTTCCCTTTAAGTTCACCCACAAGAGCTGCCATAACCTCTGTCCTGGAGGAAGGCTGGAATGGCACCTTCGCCCACACACAAGCAAGCCCAAGCAACTTCCTGTGCCCGAGAAGAGTTTGCTGAAGCCACGTGCCCCCCTGCAGGGGACATCTGAGTGACACACACTCATGCACACACTTGCACACACACATGAACGGAAATGGAAACCTAAGCAGGTCTTTCCTGAGTGAGACATCACCACCCCGTCTCCAAATGGATGAACATGTCTGTACTGCAGCCTGGGTCCTGCTTGCTTCGGGAGAGGACACGCAGTGGGGAAGGAGCAGTTACTGGGGTGGGGCAGCTTCAGGAGCAGTTTCACTCATCATGTCCTTGTACTGCCGTTTGAAGAAGCCGAGCTGTGGGGGAGAGGAGGAGTAAATGGCCACGGAAGCCAGGGGAGTGGGAGAGGGCCACGCAGACCAGGAGGGGAGACAGAGACGACCAAGAGGTACAAAGAATAATGTGGCACAGGGCAGAAGGGTCCTGGGAAAGTGGGGCAGGGAGGGAGGAGGCATCGATATTGGGGTCAGGAAAGAAAGAAATATAAAATACAAGAAGGAGAACTACTCCTTATCTAGTGGTCGCTCTGTTCTTTTTGTTTTGTTCTGTTAATCCTCGCCCGAAGATATTTTCCATTGATTTTTAGATAGCGTGGAAGGGAGAGAGTAAGAAAAAATCTGTGTGAGACACATAGATCGGTTGCCTCCCGCAGGACCCCAACCAAGGCCAGGGATGTACCTGCAACTGAGGTACATGGCCTTGACTAGGAATCAGACCCATGACCCTTCGGTCCACAGGCGACGCTCTAACCTCTGAGCAAACCAGCCAGTTATAGTGGTCACTCTGTACAAGTGCTCAGTTACCTTCACAACATGGGTATTTATATTCTCATTTTACAGCTGAAGAAACAGCAGCTCTGACTTGCCGAAGGTCACAGCCGGCAGCGCGGCTGCCAGAGGGGCATGACAGTGGCCGGAGAGGGTGTGGACGGTACCTTGTACAGAACTGCTGTGATGAGGCCCAGGAGCACCAGCCCGCCCACGGAGCTGCCCACGATGAGTGGGACAGGGTTTCCCACTTCATATGGCTCCACTTTGGTCTTTGTCTGCGGCAGGGAAGGGGAAGAGAGTGATGCATCAGGGGGGGTAGACCTGGATTTCTGGAGGTTCCCGAGCCGGACCTTGTACACACCCTGAACCTAATAACCAACCCCTTCCCAGGTCCCCAATCCCAGTTCTCACTCCTCCCCCCTTCCCCCACTTCTCGCCGTCTCTCTTTACCTAGACATCTCCCCAATCCCAGCCTCCCCTCCTCCTCTGGTAGCCCCTCTGTGCCCAAGACAGATACCTGGACCCTCACAAACTCCTCCTGTCCTGGAAACAGGGTAAACACCGTGTCATCAAACAAGATCTCCGCTGTGCTCACAACCTCAAGGTAGCTGTGTGGAGTCTGTGGGAGAGAGAGGGTGAGGGCTGGGCCCGAGGGCCTGCAGCACCGTGCCTGGACCGGCCGAGCCTTGGGGCCCCACAGACCTTGATATACCAGTCAAATGAGAGGTTGCCTTTGAGGGTGACACTGAATTGTTCCTGGCTGCCAAAGGACTGGATGTCACATTGGGTTCTCTGGCAGACAGCGATGGAGCAGTTCTTTGGAAAGAAGGAGAGAAAAAAGTGATCAAGGAAGCTGGTCGCAGAAAACACTCCAAGCACTCCGCCCACTCAGCTGAGAGATGGCACTGGCCACCAACAGGGGACAGCACTGCGTCCGCATGTGGCCCCGAAGCTGGGGTTACACTTATTCTTACCAGCTCGGGGCTTTTCTTAAGCTCAGCCAGGAAGTCAGAGCGAGGGGGGGCCCTCTCCTCAACGCGGCATGAATTGAATAGGTTCTGAGGAAAGAGAGGCGCTGTGAGGAGAGAAGTGAGGAGCCCCTGGGCCCACCCTACAGGAGGGTGCGAGGTCCTAGGCCAGGAGGGTCCGAAACGGCTCCGAAGTCCAGCAGAGGAAACAGACGGTAGGAAAGCCCAGGGCTGCGGAGCGAAGAGGTGGGCGGCTCCTCAGGCCCAGCCCGGCTTACCTGGGAGAAGACGATCTGGGGGTGATCCCACACGGTCACCTGGTTCAGCTGGGTGGGGATCCAGAAGACTACACTGACGGGGACACTCCTCCGCCCCAGGTTGTTGAACTGCAAGGTGTTGGGGGAATATCAGTGCCCTGCAGCTGCAGCCGGCCGCCCGCTGCCGACAGCCCAGGACGCCTGAGCGCGGCCTCGCGACCCAGCGCCCGCCCTGGCGCTTTGTGGGAGGCGGTCAGGTGTGGCAGTTACACTCGTTCAAGCGCCAGACATCCAGACATCCTAAGTAACGGTTCACCCACTTTCTGGTGGTGAGACCACGGGCATGTTTTGCTAACCAATCTGAGCCCATTTCTTTCTCTGTAAACAGGATAATGGCAGTGCCTGTCCCAGAGTCACCATGAAGACAAAATGAGTGAATCGTGTGAGTGTGTGTACACTTGGGCCTCTGTATCGCACATTCTGCATCATCTGATTAAACAAAGCACAGACAGAAAACATTCAGAAAAAATGTTACGTTGTTGCCGACGTGTACCATGTAGTTAGGCCTGTGATGGTTGCAGACTTGAGCAGACTTTTTTCTTGTCATTATCCCTAAACCACACAGTGTAACAACTAATTACATGGCATTTGCATTGCATTCGGGATTCTAAGTACTCTAGAGATGATTTAAAGTACACAGGAGGAGTCCTGGCCGGTCTGGCTCAATGGTTGGAGTATCTGCCTGCGGACCAGAGTATCCTGGGTTCGGTTCCTGCTAGGGGCACGTACCAAAAAAAAAAATTCTCAAACTCTTTCCAACAATATTGCCCGGCTGATGTGGCTCAGTGGTTGAGCATCAACCCTGCACCAAGAGGTCGCCAGTTTGTTTCCTGGTCAGGGCACATGCCCAGGTTGTGGGCCCCATCCCCAATGGGGTACATGCAGGAGCCGGCCAATCAATGTTCTCTCTCATTGATGTTTCTATCTCTCTCTTCCTCTCTCTAAAAATCAATAAAGAAAAACATTTTAAAGTACACAGGAGGATGAGCATGGGTTACATGCCAATACTACACCATTTTATCTGAGGGACTTGAGCATCGTGTGTTTTGGTACGGGGTGGGGTGGTCCTGGGACTAGTGCCCCGTGGATACCGAGGGATGACTGTACCCACATGCGTGTGCACATGCTTGTGTGTGTATAGAGTGAGTGCGAGCTTGGCATGGAGCCTGGCACACAGCAGGCACCCGGTGCATGCTTCCCGTCACTGTGCTGCATGCTGGCACATTGGGTTCCCTTCCCGGCCTCCTCAGCTCCCCACCTGATACTGATGCTTTATATCATGGCTGGTCTTCTCTGAGGCTGTGAAGTTGAGATACCTGGTGGAGGCCTCGTGGCTGATGGTAGAAAGGAGCAAGTGACAACATCAGGAGTGTTCTGGAAAGGGGGTCTCAGGCTAGGTGTGTAAGGGGTAAACAGGCACATGGGTAATGCAGCCCTGAGAGGGAGCAAGCAGGATGGTGTGCAGGGGACAATATGTGTGCCCTTTTGAGCCTCATATGCACATGCACATGTGCACACACACCACCCATGTATACATACACAGTGCACGTATATCCTCGGACACATACCGGCACACGTATGCACAGACTCACACACACAGATACACAGTGGGCCGTGTGCAGCCCGAGTGAGGCAGAGGTAAACTCTCAAAGCCAGTACCTCGAGATCACCATGTAGACAGTGTACTTCACAGGCAGCTCCAGCTGGAATTCAGTTTTGTTGGTCCTCGGCATGTTGTTATCACTGAAGGGAGACAGAGAGCTCTTCTCCCTCGCCCTCTCCCTCCACCGCAAACCAGCCGCCAAGGGCTGTTCTTTCTGCACCCTGAACACCCTGTTCTCTGCTCCCGGCTCCACCTTGCCCAGGTCCAGCCCCGCTCCCTGGGTATCTGCGATGCCTTCTTCTCACTGGTCCCTGAATTCAAACCTGCTCCCACCCCGAACCACAGCCTTCCTGGGGAGCGATCTTTCTACCATGCAGATGCGATCTTGTCACCCGCAGGTTAACTGCAAGTTTCCTAAGAGCACCCAGCAGTCAGTTCACGATGCTGCCGCGATCTCACCAACTCCTTAAATCCTGCCTGATGTGCCCGGCCATGCTTACACGCAGTCCTGTCTCCAGGCCTTACTTGGTACACACTTCCTTCATTCTGTCTTCACACCCACCCTCAGTTTAGGTCTTTATTTGGCTAACTCACAGCCTCAACATATCTTCTTCGGGAATCTTCCCTGAACACCAAGCTCCCAAGAACACAGGACAGAGCTTGTTTCATACTGTACTGTAATCGCCAGCTTCCTAGCTATCTTCCCACTAGGTTATAACCTCTGCGTGGCAGTAACCACAGCTGTCCTGTCCATCCCTGTCCCCCCAGCACCGGACACAATGCCTGGCACATGGTGGGTGTTCATCCGGTATTTGCTGAATGAATGATGTGAAGGAAGAACCAGTGGGGAGAGGGCAGAGGTCCCCCTGGCAGAGGGTGGGACTTAAGGCACAGCACGCCTGTGGGAAGCCGGGCACCGCCTACCTGGTCACATTGGCCTTGAAAAGTAGTCTGTTTCCAAGGGAAGCATCATTGTCCACACCCAGTATGATGTTAAAGGTGACCTGGAGTTGGAGAAAGGAGAGACTAACAAGAATAGAAGAGAAGAAACAACCCAAATGTTCATTAACTGAAGAATTGAATAAGTAAAATGTGGTGCATCCATATAACAGAATATTACTCAGCGGTGAAAAGGAATGAAGTTCTGCAATAGAGATGACCCTTGAAAGCATGCTGCTGAGTGAAAGAAGCCAGTCACAAAGGACCACACACTCTGTGACACCATTTGTACGAAAGGTCCAGAATAGGTGAATCCAGAGACGGAAAGTGGGTTAGTGGTTGCCTAGGGCTGGGAGAAATAGAAGGACGAGAGTTGATAGCTAAGGGGAGCAGAGTCATTTCTTAGGGTAAGAAAATATTCTAAAATTGATCGTGATGGTAGACACACAACTCTGAACAACCTGGGAGCCATTGAAAGTGAATACTTTAAATGGGTGAATTGTATGGTATATGAATTATATCTCGATAAAGCTGTTTCTCAAAAACAGCAACCTCTACTTTAAAGAAGAAGGAAAGAAGGAGAAGGATAAGAAGGGCCCTGGCTTGTGTGGCTCAGTTGGTTGGAGCAAAATCCCATACACCAAAAAGCTGTGGGTTCGATTCCCAGTCTGGGCACATACCTAAGTTGCAGTTTGATCCCCAGTCAAAGGGTGTGTGGGAGGCAACCAAACGATGTTTCTCACACCAATGTTTCTCTCTCTCTCTTCCCCTCTCTCTAAACATAACATGTCCTCTGGTGAGGATTAAAACAAAGAAGAGAAGAATGCAGAAGAAGACAAAGGAGAAAAGGTGAGAAGGAGTCCGCAGCCTGACCTCTGAGTTGCCTGGGAAGATGGGGTGGTTTATGCTGCAGATGCCAGTGTGCAAGGTCTCAGGCCCTTGGGTGGTCTCAGACCCACAGTTCACACGCCAGGACCGCCATGAGTGCTGGGTCTGGAAGGCAAGGGAGGCGGAGGTGGTGATGGTGGTGATGGCACCCACTGGCCAGGGGACCCGCAAAGCAAAGTCAGGTGGAGCCTGAGAAGAATTTGGCTACCTGGATCCCTGACACCGTCCGATAGGACAAGCCAGGTGGGTAGAAGAAGGCGACCTGAGTCCTGTAGGAGTCCTCACCCTGGTTTTTCACAGTCACTGTCACGTTGAAGTCCTGGGAACCACCCACCACCAGGGTGCGCAGGCTGTGGGGGGAACAAGCTAGGCCATGAGATGCTGAGGGCCTCCCTGCGGGAAGCTGCCTGGTGGGAAGGAGGCACGGACACTCGGAGAGCGAAGACAGTGGCGGGGTGGCCATGCAAGCACCTCCAAAGCAGCTGCTCCATGCCAGGCTCCCTCGGGGCCAGGGCAAGGCCAGAGCACCAGGTCTCAGTGTCGGCTTTGAGGTCACAATGAGGAAAAGAAACTCACTTCATAAAACTGAGGGTGATGCTGAGGTCATCCTGGCAGACACTGTCATTGCCACAATTTTTCTCAAAGGGAAACTGCACAAAATAGGACATGATAAAATACAATGAAGGGAAGTAATGAAGCGATGTGAAGTAAAACAATAAAATAAGATGTTGAAATATAATTATTTGAAAATAAACTAAAATGAGTTTCGACAATCTTGGCCTCTGGTCCCTTCATGCCCCTGCAGGACCCCAACCGCAGGACTCACCGAGGCTGTGAAGAGTGTCTGGGCATCCACAGCCAGCACCGGCCGGAGGTTCCCGAAGGAGGTCAAGGGCTGCCCCACCAGAGAGAAGTTGAGGCGCAGGCCAATGGGGATCACTGAGTCTTCTACACAATCCTGAGAGACAGTGGTGGTTGGGGGTCTGCCTTCTCAGCTTCCCAAGCCCACCCCATGCTCGGAGGACCGGGAGTGGGCTACGTCCTGCTCACCGGTAACCGCAGCGTCAGTGTCTCACATTTCTGATTCTGCCCGAAGACCTGCGTCTGCCTGCGTGTGCTGTTCTTCGTCTCATCAAAAATGGCTCGAGGAAGTTGGCGAGTTGAGTCCAGAGCCAGGTCATATGTGATGGTGCTCTGGACCTCTCCTGAAGGGGCAGGGGCAGGGCAGCATAGTGGTGAGGAGCCTGGCTTGGGAGGCAGGCAGGACTCTGAGGCCCAGCTCCTCTGCTCCCCAGCTGTATGACTTCGGGCATGTTATCTAACCTCTTTGAGTCTCTATTTCTTATTTTTTAATTGAGGACAATAATTGTACCTTCCCAGTGGTAAAAATGAAATGAAATGGTGTCTATGCTTTAGCACAGTACCTGCCATACAGTAAGTGCTTAATAAATGGCAGCTATTCTGTCACATACTAGAAAAGTAAGTATTTTTTTTTCTGGCTGCTTTTAACTTTCCTTCCTTGTCTTTGGTCTTCAGCAGTTTGTGCCATGGTCTAGTACAATGTATGATGTTGTGTACACCAGTGTAATGTACCATGGTATGGTTTTCTTTCTATGTATCCTGCTTTGCTTGTTAGAGAAGCCTTGATGTCTTTCATCATTTTTAGAACATTCTTCACCACTATTTCTTTAACTGTTGTTCCTTTCTTATTTTGTCTCTCTCTTCCTGTTGGAATTCCAACTGCGGGTTTATTAGATCACTCACCATGTCCCATCCATCTCTAATAGTTTCTTTATATAGTTTTCATCCTTTTCTCTCTGTGTATTAATCTGGATATTTTCATTTGCTTTACCTTCCAGTTCACTAATTCTCTGTTCTGCTTCTAATCTGCCATTAAATCTATTTATCGAATCCTTAATTTCAGTCAGTGTTTTTCAGTGCTAGAGTACCATTTGACTCTATTTTATGAATTTAAAGTCTTTTCTGAAGTTCTCCATCATTTTGAATTCCTGTCTGATAACTCTAATTTATAAATCACCTGTGAGTCTATTTCTATTGTCCACTGTTTCTCTTGATTGCTGGACTCTATGAACATTGTCCCAATAGAAAGAGCAAGTTGTTTACAAAGGCCCCTCCTAAATCTCTGTTTCCCCAGCAGTGGGGCGCTGCTGAATTTCTGTTCAACTCTTTAGCAGTTGTCAACTGAGTTCCTTGGAGTACTGACCTGCACATGCCTGGTTCAAGAGTCAGCCAATGACTTGAGAGGAATTTGTATGTAGATGTGGGGGGTGTTTCATCTGCAATCCTCTCTCTCTAAGACTTTGCTCTCAATTTCTAGCCATGCTGGCAGCCACAAACTTTGACTGCTATCTCCTCCATTCAGTAAGACTACTGCTAGAAACCTAATTTTATGACCTCCCCCTATTTCTCTTTAGTACCACCACTTAGTATTCCCCATCCCAAGCACAATGTTACTCTTTAAAGTAGAAACATCCCTGGCCAGTTTGCCTCAGCAGTTAGAGCATCGGCCGATGGACCAAAGGGTCGTGGGTCTGATTCCTGGTCAAGGGCATGTACCTGGGTTGCAGGTTTGATTTCCCAGCCTGGTTTGTGTTGTGCGGGAGGTAAACAATCAATGTGTCTCTCTCACATTAATGTTTCTTTCTCTCTCTCTTTCTCTCTCCCTCCCTTCCTCTCACTCTATCTAAAAATCAATGGAAAAATATCCTCGGGTGAAGATTAACCAATAAAATTAATAATAATAATAGTGGTAGTAGAAACAATGGAAGAAGTCAAATTTGTTGTGATAAAATGCACATCTGAATGCCTTGTGAATTTGTGTTTAGCTTCATCAACACAAACTCCCCTTTAAATGAGTTCTCAGTTTGCCCTGGCCAGTTTGGCTCAATGGTTAGAGCATCGGCCCGCGGACCAGAGAAGCCCAGGTTCGGTTCCCACTAAGGGCACGTACCTTGGTTGCAGTTTGGCCCTGGCCCTGGTTGGGCTGTGGGTGGCAGCCAGTCGGTGTGCCTCTCTCATGTCAATGTTCCTCTCTCTCTCTGTCTTCCTCCCTCTCTCCCTCCTTCTCTATCTGAAGATAAATGCAAAAATGTCCTCGGATAAGGATAAAAAAAATGTTTAAATAAACTTTACTTTAAAAAATAAATAAATAAATAAATAAATAAATAAATAAATAAATAATCCCAGTTAATCCCAGGTGCGGGGCCCTCTGTTATCCGAGTTATAGGGTTTGCTGAGTGTGCTCGCCCAGCGGGGGAATCACCTGCTTGCTCCAGCCAAGCTTGGAGAAGGCTGTTGAGGCCTGTGATGTGAACACTTTGCTCTGAACTGCCAGGAAGTCTGAGAAGGCTGGGTCACTTGTCAATGTCCCCAACACTTAACCTGTTGAGATTTACCCCTCAACCTCACCTTCTCTCAGCCGGTCCCGTGTGCTCTTATGCACACGGAGGCAGACTCTGACCTCCCCAGCAGTCTGGCCTTTCACCACATGTTCCCGACACTCATACACATTCCTCATCAATTCTCTTGGTGCGAAGTTCATGGTCACCTCAACTCTCAGCACAGGCTTGGACCTGTAGAGATACCAGAAGGCCGTTAGTGGCCTGCAGACAGCAAAACTGCACTTAGAGAAAGATAACCTGGTGTGCTCCGAAAGAGGTCCTCACCTGAGCAGCAGCACACGCCCCTGGGCCCCTACAGCCAGGTCCATCAACCCATCCATGGTGAGGTCCTTGCCCCCACTCAGTGACTGACCAAAATACTGGAGCCTGGGGGAGAGCTGGGAGCCTGCAATCCGCTGAGAGTAGAAAAGAAGAGAGAAGGGAGGGGGAAAGAATAGGGAGTGTGTAACTCAGTTGCCCAGAGTGATCCAAGGAGAGATTGTCTGGGATCCATTCAAGTCTCATTTCCCACAATTTCTCAAAGAATTAGGGCACTGTTTCTGCCTAGCTTTGAAACACAGTCTTGAGATGACACCCAAAGTCTCCATTAATTGCCTAGGTTTTTGAGGAAAAGCAAATTGTTTTACAGGAAAGACTTCGCAGAATCTTGTTCATGTGGTCAGGATAATGCAAACACCGAATATTGATCTAACCGAAATTATCATAGAAATATAAGGAGTGGGGGGAGGGGTGGAAGACGTGAATATGAGGCAAAAGGGGTCTGAACGAGACAGTCCTCACCTCCCGCAGTGGGCAGTCCATGCTAAAACAGAAACCAAGAAGCAGAGAAATAATCACATCATTGGGAAGTATGAAGAATCACTGCAGAACTAAAAGTGGCTTCCTTGGGACCACGGGAAATAAAGAGGAAATCACAGTGCAGGTGTGGACATTGCTGTTTTTCATAATCAGCCTTTAAGAACGTTTCTGACTCTCTAGTCTATGTGCAAGAGTAATACTGAAAGAGTAACCACCAAATAAAGAGAAATTTTAACTATACACTTTAAAATGGTTAAAATGATGAATTTTATGTCATGTATATGTTACCACAATTTTGTTTAAGTGATTTTGTCAACGGAAAGCAAGCATAGGGTGCTGGAAATTCACGATATCTTAATCTAAGTGGTGCTTACTCGGGTTCACAGACATGTAAAATGTCATCACTTAAGGCCCTGGCCAGTTTGGCTCAGCGGTTAGAGCGTCGGCCTGCGGTCCGGAGAGACCCGGGTTTGGTTCCCGCTAAGGGCACGTACTTTGGTTGCAGTTTGTCCCCGGCCCTGGTTGGTCGTGCGGGTGGCAGCCACTCGATGTTTCCCTTCACGTCGATGTTTCTCTCTCTCTCTCTCTCTCCCTCTCTCTCCCTCCCACTCTATCCGTACAAAAAATGGACAAATATCCTCGGGTGAGGATAAAAAAAAATTTTTTAAAATGTCATCACTTAAGGCCTGTGTGTTTGCTGCATGTATATGGTACCTCAAATTTTTTTGAGAAAAATTTATTGTATTCTGTTAAGATGAAGTTTTGTTTTGAAATGATGTGTAAAGTGGTAGTTGGGAAATCCACGGCCTATTTGCTTATCCAAACACTGAGCATCCCTGCCCCAATCAAGGGAAAAAGCAAGTAAGAAATGCAAACCATAGAACAATAGGATAGGATCATCCTTTCTGCCCTTGGTTTTAATTGCAAAGTCCGTGGGGCATGAGTGCATGCCTGCAGATACATAAAGTACCCTCCCCTTACCCGTGTTTCCTCTGTGGGGTGAGTTACAGTGCAGATGAGGGGAGGGGAGTAGGACTTTCACTGGACAGGAGGGAACTATTCCGGGGTGATGGTGATGTTCCATATCTTGTTGGGAGGGTGGGTTACAACAAGTGCAGCATTGGTCAGAAGTCATTGAATGGCTAAAGAATTGTGCATTTCCTATTTGTACATTTTATCTTAAGATTAACAGTAAGCAAATGCTAAATTCTAGTTAATGATACATGCTGGAATATTTACAGGTGAAGTGGACTGATGTTGCAACTTATTTTGAAATGCACTAAAAAATAAGATGGACTACAGAGAAAGAATGGATATGTGATCAAGTAAATCTAGTAAAATGTTACTTGTAGATTCTAGGTTGTAAATATGTGGGTGTTCACTGTACAGTTCTTTCAACTTTGCTTGTAAATTTGAAAATTTTCTAAATGTCCTGAGGGGGGTCCCTGCGTCACTGCCCCAGGAAGCATGCAGTCCTGGGAGGGAGGGCAACTGGAAGGACCTCAGATGGGAGACTCTGCTACTTGTGCAGAGACTGAGACTCCCAACACAGGAATGCCTGCTGCCCACACTCCAGCCCGCAGCTCCCACCTGAAGCCCAGTCTCTGGTCCTACAGTGTGGGTGTTGGTGCCCCTGCACTTCTTGGAGCTGTGGGAAGAATTCATCTAGAATTGAGGAGAATTTGAGGTTTCTGGAAAGTGTTTTAGTTTTAAAGGTTCTGAAAGGAGGTAATGGGAGAACCAATCTGGCAGCTGTGGGAACATTGATTAGAAAGGGACAGATCAGCAAAGAGGCTACTGTCATGACAGGGACAGTGACGGGCCTCACCTGGCTGTGGGAGGGGCGGATGCCCCGCCCTGAGGTTCCATGAAACAGGTAGACAGCACCCTGGTTCTCCTGTTCTCCAGGGGCCCCGATGGCCACGTCCGTCAGCTTGTCCCCATTCACGTCCCCCAGCACAGTCAGGGCTGTCCCAAAGCGCCCCCAGGGGTGGCCTTGCTCCCCACGGAGAATGGCCTCACACTGCCACCTAGACCTCTGCTGAGCAAAACCCATGCCAGTCCCCAACCTGGGCAACCCTCCACCCCACACCCAGGCCCCACCCAGCCCAGGTCTCATCAGCCACTCACCCCCCGGGGCAAGGGGCACACAGACACCTGGCCCCCCCGGGTCGGCTCGTAGTAATGGGGAGCCCCGATGAGGACCAGGTCGGAGCTGCCGTCTCTGTCCACGTCCACCGAGCAGAGGGAGGCCCCGAAGTAGGAGCCAATCTGAAAGAGATGAGGCCAGGATCACATACCTCTCCCCTCTAAAGAAGAGTGTAGGGGTTTTCTCCCTGTGAAGAAAAAGCGTGTCTGCTGGAGAAAGGCCTGTGGAGTGGCTGTGAGCCTCTATATAATTCATGATAAGTTCTCATTTAAATGTACTGACAGAAAGAGGAGCATAGTGTAGAGCTGATGGGCAGTGGAAGAGGATTTTACCCAAATGGTATTGCAGGGAGATGATTAAGATAACAAAGAAGTTGGACTGGAAAATAGAGACCAAAAAGCCTGGAACAGCATGCAAGATATCTTTTCAATACACTGGAAGTTTTTAGAGAGGTAAAAAAATCAAAGTTGGCAGTCTGGCTAATAAAGAACCAACTGGTGTGGACTGGGGGACATATAGGAGGCAGCCGATTGATGTTTCTATCTCCCTCTCCCTCCTTCTCTCTCTTTAAAAATCAATTAAAACATATTTTTAAAGTAATGATAATAACTATTTACTACCCTTGCTCAGTGGTTAGAGCATTGGTCCTCGGAACTAAAGGTCTCGGGTTTGATTCCCAGTCAAGGGCATGTATCTTGGTTGCAGGTTTGATGCCCGGTCCCAGTCAGGGTCATGAGGGAAACAACCAATCAATGTGTCGCTCACCTCAATGTTTCTCTCTCATTCTTTCTCTCTCCTTCCCTTCCTCCCACTTTATCTAAAAATCAATGGAGAAGATTCCAAAATGGCGGCAGAGTGAATGGAAGCTACACAGACCATCTCCCAGGACCAACCAGGAATTACAATTAAATAAAGACAAACCATAGGGAAAAAGCAACTGAAAAGCAGCTTGCAAGGACCATATAACCAGGGACACTGACTCGATCCTGGTAGGATTGCAGAGGCATGAGAGGGGGGCTGGGAGCCCATGGACAGCAGTGGTCTTAGCTGTGAGCAGCACCCTCGGGGTTAAACTCCTAAGCCCGCTCCACAACACAGAGGGCCGGGACAGAGCACTAAAATAGCCACAGCCACTCACCTTGGGCTCCAGCAGAGGGAGGGCTGACTACACTGGATCTGTGTGGAGACACTCAGGATTTGGAGGGCACTCAGACCATTTGCTGAGTTTCCGCCACACAGGACGGTGGCCATCTTACTCCTTCCCAGGGCTTTGGGGAGAGGCAGCAGCTCCTCCCTCAGAGATTTAACCCCACCCAGGCGGTTCATTGAAATGCAAATTGAGGCTCATTAACAATCAGCATCTGCCCCACCCTTGGGAAATTCTCTTATGCAGAACACCTGAGAGAGCTTTTTATTCAACTGAGAACCCAAGGCTCTTCAAGTAACAAAGACTAATAGCCTCCAGGAAAAAACCTAGAGGATAACTGAACCATTCCTGGGCTTCCAGACCTACTCAGGTAAGTAAGACTTGACAGTGGTGCTGAACATGGGTCCTCCCATGCTCATCCAAACCCAGTAGAGAAAGCCACAAACAGTAGAACACCAACACCCACAAGAAAAATTGGGCAGGCTCCAAAACCCACTGAGAGAGCCAAAATGGTGAAACAAAAAAACAAACCCCAAATGAAAAAACAAGACCTCTACCAAAGATGAGATCAATGAAATGCAGTTAAGCAAGTTATCAGAGGTAGAATTCAGAGCCATGATCTTGAGGAAGCAAAACAGCATGAGTAACGACATAGAAACATTAAAAATCAACCAACTGGAAATAAAAAACCACCAAGAAGAAATGAAGAATGACATAGCAGAAATAAAGAACACATTGGAAGGACTAAGCAGCAGACTAAAGGAAGCTGAGGACCAGATCAGTGAATTAGAAGACAGGGTAGAAAAAATCAACAAATCAGAAAAACAAAAGGAAAAAAACAGAAAGACAGCTTAAGAGAACTGTGGGACAACTGGAAACGTAGTAATATTCGCATCATAGGAGTCCCCGAAGAAGAAGAAAATGAGCAAGGGTTAGAGAATATATTTGAAGAAATAGTGACAGAAAACTTCCCTAATTTGGTGAAGGAAGAAGGCATTCAAGTTCAAGAAGCACAGAGAGCCCCAAGTAAGAAGAACCCAGACAGGCCCACACCAAGACACACAGTAATCAAAACGCCAAAAATTGCCCTGGCCAGTTTGGCTTAGCGGTTAGAGCATCGGCCTGCGGCCCGGAGAGACCCAGGTTCAGTTCCTGCTAAGGGCACGTACTTCAGTTGCAGTTTGTCCCCGGCCCTGGTTGGTCGTGCGGGTGGCAGCCACTCGATGTGTCCCTTCACGTCGATGTTTCTCTCTCTCTCTCCCTCCCACTCTATCTGTACAAAAAAATTTTATCCTCAGGTGAGGATAAAAAAAAATAATTATAAAAAATAAAACGCCAAAAATTAAAGACAAAGACAGAATCCTAAAGGCAGCAAGAGATAAGCAACAGATTACCTACAAAGGAACCCCCATAAGGCTCTCAGCTGACTTTAGAAGAAACACTACAGGCCAGAAGGGAATGGCATAAAGTAATCAAGGTCATGAAAAACAAGAATCTGAATCCAAAACTACTCTATTCAGCAAGGCTATCATTCAAAATAGAAGGTTAAATAAAAAGCTTCCCAGACGAAAAAAGGCATGACTTTTTTGGAAAGAAAGCATGACTCATCTATATGTTGTTTACAAGACACCCACCTCACAACAAAAGACTCACATAGATTGAAAGTGAAGGGATAGAGAAAAATCTTCCAAGCAAACGGAAAGAAAAAAAAAGCTGGGGTAGCAATACTCATATCTGATAAAATAGACTTCAAAATGAAGGCCATAACTAGAGATAAAGAAGGTCACTACATAATATTGAAATGATCTATCCAACAGGAAGATATAACCTTGATAAACATATATGCAACCAATATAGGAGCACCAAAATATATTAAAAATCTTCTGGAGGACTTCTAAGGAGAAATCGATAGCAATACAATCATAGCAGGGGACTTCAACACCCCACTGACATCACTGGATAGATCCTCTAGACAAAAAATTAGCAAGGAAACAGAGACTCTAAATGAAGCACTAGACCAAATGGATTTAATAAATATCTACAGAGAATTACACCCCAAAACTACAGAATTCACATTCTTCTCAGGTGCACATGGGACATTCTCAAAGATAGACCACATGTTAGTGCACAAAGTCTCTACAAGTTCAAGAAGACTGAGATCATATCAAGCACCTTCTCAGATCACAATGGCATGAAACTAGAAATCAATTGCAAGAAGAACATACAAAAACATTTTAACACATGGAAGCTAAATAGCATGTCATTAAACAATGAATGGGTTACCGAGGAGATCAAGGAAGGAATCAAAAACTTCCTGAAAACCAATGAAAATGAAGACACAACTACACAAAATCTATGGGATGCAGCGAAAACAGTTCTGAGAGGGAAGTTCATAGTACTACAGGCCTATCTCAAAAAACAAGAAAAATCTCTAATAGATTATCTAACCTCACAACTTAAAGAACTAGAGAGCAAACAAAAAGAAAACCCCAGTGCAAGAAGAAAGAAGGAAATAGTAAAGATCAGAGGAGAAATAAATGACATAGAAACCAAAAAAAAACAATTCAAAGGATCAATGAAACAAAGAGCTGGTTTTTCGAAAAGATAAACAAGATTGATGGAACCATAGCTAGACTCACCAAGAAACAAAGAGAGTGAACCCAAATACACAAAATCAGAAATGAAAGGGAGAGGTAACAACTGACACCACAGAAATACAAAAGATCATTAACAACTACTATGAACAATTATATGGCAACAAATTCGACAATCTACACAAAATGGACAAATTTCTAGAAACACAATCTCCCAAAACTGGACCAGGAAGAGATAGAAAACTTGAACAGACCAATAACAACTAAGGAAATTGAAGAAGTAATCAAGACTCCCCAGCAAAAAAAAAAGCCCAGGGCCGGATGGCTTCACGGGGGAGTTTTACCAAACATTCAAAGAAGAACTAATACCCATTCTCCTCAAACTATTTCAAAAAATTCAAGAAGTAGGAAGACTTCCAAACTCGTTTTAAGAAGCCAGCATAATTCTAATTCAAAAACCAGAAAAAAACACTACAAAGAAAGAAAACTACAGGCCAATATCCCTGATGAACATAGATGCCAAAATCCTGAACAAAATACTAGCAAATCGGCTCCAGCAATACACCAAAAAAATTATCCACCATGACCAAGTGGGATTCATTCCAGGGATGCAAGGCTGGTACAATATTTGCAAATAAATAAACGTGATATACCACATATAAAATGAAGAATAAAAACCACATGATCATATCAATAGATGCCGCAAAAGCCTTCGAGAAAATCCAGCATCCATTTCTGATAAAAAACGCTCAGCAATGTGGGAATAGAGGGATCATATTGTAGATTGACATAATAAAGGCCATATATGAAAGACCTACAGCTAACATCATACTCAATGGGCAAAAACTAAAAGCATTTCCCTTAAGAACAGGAACAAGACAGAGATGCCCACTTTCGCCACTCTTATTTAACATAGTACTAGAAGTCTTAGCCACAGCAATCAGACATGAAGAGAAAATAAAACTGATCCAAATTGGAAAGGAGGTAGTGAAACTGTCATTATTTGCAGATGACATGATACTACATGTAGAAAACCCCAAAGACTCCATCAAAAATTTACTAGACTTCATAAATGAATCTGGCAAAGTAGCAGGATACAAAATTAACATCAAGAAATCGATGGCATTCTTATACACCAAGGATGAACTCACAGAAAGAGAAACTAAGAAAACAATCCCATTTAGCATTGTGGCAAAAAAATTAAGATACCTAGGAATAAACTTAACCAAAGAATAAAGGACCTATTTGCAGAAAACTACAGGTCATTGAAAAAAGAAATAGAGGAAGATATAAAAAAGTGGAAGCACATACCTTGTTCATGGATTGGAAGAATTAAAATGTCCATACTACCCAAAGCAATCTATAGATTCAATGCAATCCC